CCCTCCTACACACTAAAATAGGAGGTCTCTACTCATCCTAAAAGCTAGGAAAGGATCAATTGTTACTATACATTGTTCCCTGGGTGAGGACTGTTCCTTTGGGGGCCTTACACAGCTCTCTGAAGCCCACACATCCTGGCAACCAGCTCAGCGTTAGGAGTACTTGCTGTTATCTTGCAGGAAAACAGCTTTACAAATCACGTACCCCTCCCAGACTTACTAGAACCGTGCCAGGGGCAGCTATCAATCTCCTCACCAATTATGCCCAAATATAGGAAATAGCAGGAGCTGTTAACATTTGGCAGTTAAAAGTAGGTATGTTTTATGTTATATGAAAGAACAAACTCCTCGTCGAGCTTGGAAGCTGTCACTGTCTGCCATGACGACGACTGCCAACACCCCCCAGCCAGTGATCATGCTGGTTGGAGGATGCTGGGAGTTGTGATTCAAAAAGGAATGTTTCTAAAGCTCTGGATAGGTGGCAAGGAGTGAAAATCTTTCAAAGGTTCTGCTAAGCGGCTAGGCTGCTGGTGGCCTAAATATTAGTGGGATTAATGGGATGGTGAATTCACATTCTAGTCCATACTTCAAAATAGTCAGATAAGGGACTGAACTTTATCCTCAAAATAGGTTCAGCAGCCTAGATAGTTTGATTTAAAACTTGAAGTGGATTTACTACTCTACTGACACGGAAGTCACCAGCTGCCCCCGAGAAGGTAGTGTATAGGCTTTGCACATACAGAGTCTTATGTTGAATGTCTGGGGATTCTAGGCAAAAAAATGTAAAACAATAGGTATGAGGAAGTCTCCTGATCAAAATAGGGCAGGGGGCTACTGCACATGGGGAGGGGGCCATTTTTCCTCCCTGAACCCACCCAATGAGCTGCATTTTGGCATGTCTGAAGTGACGTGATGTCACTTCTGGCCACAATTTTGGTTGTTTGCTCCCTTTTTCTCTGTGCATGGGAGAGGTTTGGGGGGCTTTGGAGGGTTAGGGAAAGCAAACTTCTGCAACTTTGGCAGATTTTGCCTGCTTTGAAGGCAAAAAATATTGCCCCCCAAATCACCCCAAGTTTTTTAAAAATGAGGGGAGTCCGGGGGCTCCAGAGAACACACTCAGAGATCCCAAGGCCTGCAGGTAGCCCCCAAACCCTACTTTGCTCATCCCTGGAATAGGCTGTGCTGGGCTTGATGGACCAGCTTGATGGATGAGTAGAAACTGCTATGTCTTGTAGAAATCTACCATCCAGAAAACACAAACATGGTAACGGAAAAACATCTTCACCTCTCTCTGCTACCATCCAAGATACCATACATGTCTGAGTGGCTGGCATAAGGCACAGGGGCTCCTAAGTCTCAAGTCTCTAATCACATATTGCTGCCACTGAGCACTCCAACCCCCTGTTATAGTGTGCTGGGCTGATATAGCTCATTCACAGGCTGGGAGTCACACTCCACAGTATCTTCTGCAAGGATGATTGTGGGTTATACCGTACTTCTCAAATTGCATGCCACTTCATTCAAAGTAGCCACAGTATGCCATGCTTAGAGAGTAGCCTGCACTTTCCAAGACTTCATGTTTTTTCATTGGTGGGTGCTACCTCAAAGCCAATAGTTGGGAGAACTAGTACAGGGATGCAGCTTCTACGAGGTGCACCAATCTACTTTTCTCACTCTTATAAAAGGGCAAGTGAACACAAACACACACTCACACACACCTCTCAAATATACCCTCTAAAGCAGGGGTCCCTTTAAGGGCCGAGGGACTTCAGCTCTCAGTAGCCTCAGCCATGTTGGCCAATAGCTCCTGGGATTCTGGGAGCTGAAGTCCCTCAGCCCTTAAAGGGGAAAGGTTGCCTACGCCTGCTCTAAAGCAAGCATACATTTGGGCCAGAGCTAAAACTTGCTGCCAAACATCAACCTTGCAAACAATTAAACTCAAAATTGACTGATTAAATAAAATTCAACATAAAAGTAAGAAGATACTGCATTAGACAGATGAGTTCATTTAGAATGCTATAAAATCTACTAACATTGTTGTTGGTAGCTAGTATTAAGTCGGTTTCACTTGTGGCAGCCTGATGAATGAGAGACCTCCAAGTCACCCTATCATTAATAGCCTTGCTCAGGTCTTGCTTCCTTGATTGAGTCCATCTACCTGCAATGTATTCTCCCTCTTTTCCTACTGCTTTCTACCTTACCAAGTAACATTATCTTATCTAATGAGTTATGTCTTCTTATGATAAGGCCAAAGTGCAACAGTCTCAGCTTAGTCATCTTGGTTTCTAGGGAGAATTCAGGCTCAATTCGCTCTACTAGTCAATCATTTGTCTTTTTGGCAGTCCATGCTATCCACAGAACTCCCTTCCAGAACCACATTTCAAATGAATTGATTCTCGTCCAGTCAGGTTTTTTTTCACTGTCCAGGTTTTGCAACCATACATAGAAACTGGAAATATAATGGTGTAGACAATCCGAACTTTGGTTCATACTTTTTATTGTTCTATACTTTATTTCGGTTCATTTTAGAGGTTTCTGTAGTTTTTTCCTTCTTGACACAATGTAGTTTAATATGATAAAATCCGACACGCATCAATCAAATATTTGGAAAGATTGTAATTACTACTCCTCTGTGATGCAAGTAAAGATTTATTAAAGGATGAAGTACAGCACCTGCTGCTACTTAAATGGGATATTTCAGTTAATTGTATGTTTTCCTGCTGTGAAATTCTTGCTAGTCATCATCAAGATTTTTAACAACACTGGCAGAAAAGTATAGCTGAGGAAAACACATTTGAATCTGCACCCTAAGTGCTTTTATTCAACTTTGTCTGATTGACCAGCTACATCCTAATCTAAAGGTGACAGACCCCATTAAAGTAATGCAAAATTTGTGATACTGTAGATAGATTACTGCATACACACAGTATGGGGCTGCCCTTAAAGACCATCTGGAAAATTCAACTTAGTGCAGAACTCAGCAGTAAAAAAAGGTTTGTGAGGCTTAGCCAGTCAGATGTATTTATTCTGACAAAAACTGTAAATTTGAATTCCATAGCCACAGTACAGTTCACTAACCATTATATCAGATGAAGACTGCTGCCAAACTGCAGAAATAAAGCAATTTGACATTATTTTAACTTAAAATCATAGAATCATAGAGTTGGAAAAGACCACAAGTACCATCCAGTCCAACCCCTGCCATGCAGGAACTCACAATCAAAGCATCTCGACAGATGGCCATCTAGCTTCTGTTTAAAGACCTCCAAAGAAGGAGACTCCACCAACCTCTGAGGGAGTGTGTTCCACTGTTGAACAGCTCTTACTGTCCTAAAGTTGAGGTGGAATCTCTTTTCCTGTAGCTTGCATTCATTCTTCCGTGTTCTAGTCTCTGGAACAGTAGAAAACAAGCTTGCTCCATCCTCAATGTGACACGCTTAAAATACTTAAACAGGGCTATCCTATCACCTCTTAATTATCTCTTCTCCAAGCTAAACATACCCAGCTCCCTAAGTCTTTCTTCATA